AATTGATGTATTCTAATCTATAATTTCTTACACCAAAAGAAAGGTCTAATTTTATTTCCCCTTGAAGTGCATCGGTACATTCTACAGTGCATCGGTACATTCTACAGTGCATCGATGCATTCCTTAACATGTGCATCGATGCACTATCCATGCATCGGTACACAAATTACATTCGATGTTTTCATTTTAAGGGGGTGCATCGATGCACTCCTTATGCATCGATGCACTAATTGCATTCGATGTTTATTTATTTGAGAGTGCATCGATACACATTGAAGATGCATCGATGCAAACAACCCAGAAATTACATTTTGAACACGAAAATGTTTTACTTTATCCTCAAATTCTACTTATTAACCTCTCCTTATACCTTAAAACTTATCTATACATACAGAGCCTCTTTAATATTCATCTATCTCATCTTTAACCTCAACATCCTCTTCTCTTTATGAAATTCAAGAATCATACTCAATTTTCAACATGTTCTAAATCCACTTCTAAGACTTCATATCTTTTAATTCCACTAATGATAAGTCAAATTCAACTTCAAAATCTATTAACTCCTTTTATTTCAAGAATTCACTTAAAAACTCCTTTTACTTAATCTCTCATAACTCCATCATCCTTTATTTTTAAGATAATTTAAGCTTTCCTTAAGCTTAATGATCATCCAATAATCATAAACCAACTTTAATTTCAACAAATAATCAACTAACCACAAAACTCACATTTGCTATGATGACTCACGGCTGAAGAAGAAGAGAACTCTGGAAGTTTGTTTTGTCTTCTTTTCTCTTTCACGTGGGCTTCCTTATCTTATAAAGGAAAATAAAAATCTTTCATGTCAAATGACCATTTTGCCCTTTACTTCATCTAATAATTACTAACAATGATGCATAAAATATCTTCAAATACGTCATTGAACTATTCAATTATCCCACTTTAATCACCAATTTCTAAAAATTTTCAATCTAGTCACTAACCCGGTATTGAGGATGTTACACACCGAAAATACCTAGATGAGAAATTATAGAATTACCCTTTTGAGGTAAAAATAGCCCTGATTGGCCCTAATTAAGAAAATACCTTGAGAATTTGTATCTAATCTGGTAAATTATTGATTTAACTATTAAGTTCCTATTTTGTTCGGAATATTTCTGATAAATAGTTCGTAACCTCTGAGAAGACACTAGACCTATAATTTCTAATTTATATTCATACACCCAAAGACTAACTTATCAAAAGTACTCTTATTGTCAGAATTATTTGAAATGACAGAAATAAATGATAAGTTTGAATCAAATGGAAAGGCTGGCGGAAGGAAAGAACTAAAATACCCTTGAAGTGTAAAATGACCTAAAATGCCCCAAGCCCTGGAATGACTGAATACCCTTAAGCTCTAAAATGAATAAATCTACCTCGAATTCCATAATGATCTAAATACCCTCATGACTATGATTAAACAATGCATTTGGATAACTTTTGAAGATACTAGTGAAGTTTTAAATGATGTAGCACCCTTGAGGTTATAGATTACAACCTAAGTAGGTCGATCATCCCTAATATTGTTACATTACGGGAAGTAAATAAATATTGCTTAAATAAATGTTCGTCTTCTCATGATCCATCCAAAGATGGTTATGAAGGTGATCAGTTTGATTCTACAGTGTAGCCAGTTTTAAGAAATGAATATTCTTGAAGTTTCTTTATCTACATAATTGATAAGTGTCGCCTTTTTGGGAATTGAACAATGCATTTGGAATTGAAAACATGTTAAGATGCTTGAAATCTGGAATTCTGTACATCGCTGTATACCCTTATTAAATTGATTTATTAAAATTTTCAGGAATTGAATGACTAAAATGCCCTTATAAGCCTGATTGATGGAATTACTTTGGAAATGTCTGAATCCTAAATAAATTTTGATACAATAATTCATGAATACCTTGCTGATATATCTGAATATTATGATCTTCATAAATCATTTCCTGAATGATTGATGAATTCGCTAGCTATTAAACCCCTTTTTATAAGAATATAATTTCTAAAATTCAATCAGTTTACAGAAGTTTCGTATTTCACCCGCTTGATAATTGCTAAGTACCTCCAGAAAATAATTGGATCCTCTAGTGTGTTCCTATGTGCCATATAATTGTTTTACTTGTTTTAAAATATGATTTGTTTGAAATTACAGATTTACTGATGTATTGATTTACTGTTTATAAACTATGGCTACATGATATGTGTTCTCTGGTTACCTGTTTTAATTGGAAAATATAATCATTCATGGTTTATGAATCATGGAATCTATTGTTTACTGTATTATTTGATTATTGGGATATTGTATGGGTATGATTCTGGAGTATTAGGTTCAACTCTGATCAAGTTGGTAATTCCTCATGCAGGTTCAACACCGATTAAACTGGTAATTCCTTATGGACCTAAGGCGACCCTTGGGTGGGCTCTTGGGCCCAATGGGCCTAGTGGTAAGACCTTATGGACCCTAACATACTCCCTTAGGGTGGCTCTTATACTGTGTGCATTAGGTAAGTCCTTATGGACATGAGGGAACACCCCTTAGGTGGGCACCTACGCTTTGGCTAGAGTAAGACCTTATGGACCCAAGGTGCTCCCTTAGGTTGACATCTACGCCCAATGGGCCTAGGGTAAGTCCTTATGGATGCAGTTCTAGGGAATTGCATATTGGTGTTTGTTTGGAGGGTATTATTGTGGTTTTAAAATATGTTTTAAACTACTAATGTTTTTAAAGGATATGTACACATTTCTGTGTTTTGTTGGAACACACTAGATTCCCCAATTCAATCTTCTGAATATGTCTCTCTCTGAATACTTCCTTCAGACCGTAAATTCATGTTTGTAACTGAAGACTTAGCTATTGGAATCTGAATTCACCGCTAGAATATGATGATGACTATACCGTTAAGGAATTTATGCTTTACCTTATACCCAATGGCATATTGCATTCATCTTGTAGTTTTGTATTATTGAGCTTCCCAAAGCTCACTTTTTACTCACCGCTTCAGGGTAAAAGAATTGATCCAGTGCAGCTATCAACTTCAGTTTTGGGAGTTCCTTCGGCTTTGCTTGCAGAGTACGGTACAATAAGCAATTAGGGGGCATCCAGGGGGCATGTACGGTATATGAATGGTTTTCTGAACTTGTATTTTATTTATAAATTATTTTATGATTTTACACGTTTTAACAAAAAATTTAATTTTTCCTGGATTTTTATTGTGGGTCGCTCCGGTGGCCCTAATGTGACACCTCATATCGGATTGGGTCACCCGCATCGGTCTGAGGGTGTTACAGAGTGTGGAATAATTGCAATGGCTTGCTTGGTGTGTGTGTATATATATATATATTCCTTACTCAATGGTGACTTACTAGTGTGTAATCAATCTTAAATGACCTAATTGCTTCATGCTTATGTTATGACTTATCTTCTTAGGTTTATCTACCTCTTATACTACTAAACTTTGTAAAGTTTAACGTTGCATTGATTATTCGATTTTGGTTTTAAGATAATATCACGACATATCTTGATGAATTTCAACAATTTTACATTTGAGTGCAGATTTTTTGTGGGAAAATATATTTGTAAGATCCTTACTGATTAATTTGGTAACTCTTTTGGTCATTTATTGGTGCATTATTTTAAATATCGAAGCTCTAATTTTGTAGTAATTAATTTTATACTTTAATTATTACGATTTTATTATTAACTTGAAAGGTTTATAAAATTTTCAATAATTTAAATAAAAAAAGTGAATGACTTTATTCGTTGCGCATTAGTAATTTATATGATACTCTCAAATTTATTAGATACTTCAAATCAGATTTAAGGGGTTATTCATACTATATGAAAATGTAAAGGATGAAAAGGTAGATAGTAGTAAAGGTTGACCTTGAGAAAATTTACAATAGAATCGAGTGGGGTTATTTCTGGACGACTCTCTCCCATGAAGTAGGTTATCAATCCATTTGATACATATTATCACATCTTTAATATCTGTTTTTTTTAAATAGACCTATAATGAATTCATCGAGTGATCTCAGTAGTTAAAGAGAGCATTGTTCTCTCTTAAGATCTGAGTTCGAACAATTACGCCTACAAGATGTGTGTATTATCAATGGTTAATAAAAATTATAAACATATACTACATTATGTAATCATTCCGGACTATTTAAAAAAATAGACCTGTAATATCTCACATTTTTTTCCGAGATGATCGTATTTTATTTTTAAGAGATGAGACAGAAACAATTTTACGAGTCTTAATCTTGCATGTACTGCGAGAGTAAAGACAAATAGCGTTTTATGTTCAACAACGACAACTTCGAAGCCAATTCTCAGCCATCATTGAAGTACAAAGACTAAAGACAAACATGGTTTATGTTCTTCAAGTAGATGGAAGTTTTTTTTTCAATGTTTTGTTCGGAACAGATAAGAAACAAATAACATGTCATGTCCTAAATACATTTATATATAAAATTCAAAGCAGCTTTTTTTGTTTCTGTGGGAGACATGTTTGAAACTTAATTGATTTGATCTATTTATGCAGCAAATAGTATTTAGACAGGCAACAGGGAAATAAGTAAAGAAGATGGCATCAACATCAATTTTATTCCATTGTAAAGTGTAGAAACCTTTGGCGATGAGATCAGGTTCCGTCTTCAACTTTACATGTCTAATCTCAGGTCTACTCAGATTCCCACTATCATTAATGAATTGAACGATCCAGATGAAAAGGAAGCGGAAACACGTAGCCGGTCGTGCCCAGAGTTTTGGAAGATATTCCTTTCCCCCACCGTCATCAAACAACAGCTTTCTTAACCTAACCATGGTTAACACTATCCTCATTCATCACCTTCATTTAGTACCTCCACTCCACCTTACGTCCTCTTTCTCTTCCTATATTAACCTTCTGCTCACTCCTCCTTACTTTCACTTATCGTCCTTAAAACTCAACTGTTCTCAACAGAAAATTTCTTGGTTTATTGATTTTCTCCTCTCCTTTTTTTTTGTTTTTGTTGAGATCAAACGCCGGTAATTACTTAAAAAAATGAGCTGCAATGGTTGCCGCGTGCTCCGAAAGGGGTGCAGCGAGACATGCGTGTTGCGGTCGAGCTTACGCTGGATCGAATCGTCCGAAGCCCAAGGCAACGCCACCTTGTTTCTCGCCAAGTTTTTTGGCCGTAGTGACCTTCTTTCTCTTATCTCCTCCGTCCCTGAGTCCCAACGCCCTGGTACTACTTCAAGCTTACTTCAATACCCGAGCTTGTTGGTTTTTAAAATTCATTTTTACGTTTATCTGAAAAGTTGAGTCTTGGGTTTTTATTTTTTTCCCTTCTTATAGCTTTGTTTCAATCTTTATTGTTTGAGGCATGTGGACGTACCGTGAATCCGGTGAACGGAGCGGTGGGTCTGTTATCGGGTGGGAACTGGCACGTCTGTCAAGCGGCGGTGGAAACAGTTCTTCAGGGAGGAACTTTACGTCCGGTTTCGGGGTCTTCTTGGACGCCAAGTTGCAACGAGTCATGGGATCGTCTCTGTGTTAACTCGTGCAACTATGAGTCGAAGCCGTTGATGATGATGATGATAGGGAATCAATCGGGTTCGACGGCGTCGGATCTTGGCTTGTCTTTGACGGCTAAGATGAGCGGAGAAAGGCGGCGAGAAGAGGAAAATAAGAGAGAGAAAACGGCGACGTTTTATTCGGAGGAAACGGAGATAACCACTTTCGAAAGCAATGACAACGAAGAAACCCAAGACAGAAAGATTTTGAATCTCTTTGTATGAGAAAAAATGTTTTTTTTTCATAAACCGCATGTAGCCAATACTGATCTAGAAAATAGTAATTAATAATAATAATGGGAAAATGTTTTTTTCCTTAAATTGAGAGAATATTGGTTTTATTATTTTAATAATTAAAGAAAATGGGGCATCAGCTATAATGTCCTTGGATTTGGACGACAATTGATAAAGAGACAAACCATACAGTAGGCATTGCCGTCAATGATTACAATTTTGATTTTCCTCACTACTTTTGCTTTTAGGACGTAAGGATGAAAAAAAATACGCAAAGTTATTGAGAGAGGCCTACCGATTGACAGTTTTAAAATTCTAAGAAACATGGATGGATTGATGATAGATTGATGGATGAATAAGATGATAAACGTGTAGCACTCACGGATCGATATGGGTGACTCGATCCGAATTGAGGTGTCATATTAAGGTCATTGGAGCGACCCACGATAAAAATTCAAGAAAAATTTAAAAAAATTAATTCATTTATAATCGTAAAAATGTATAGATAAAATACAAGTTCAGAAAACATCATTTATATATATTAAAATAAAGTCCACCAATATCTAGTAGTAAAACAAGTTTCAAACTCGAATATAAAAACATAATACAACCTACATGCCCCTGTTTACATGCACTGTACTCCGCGAGCAATGGTGGTGAGACTCCTTTACTGATGCGATACGAACACATTATCAAACTCTTAAACTTGAAATGGTAAGAAACATGGTGAGCTTTGGAAAACTAAGTGATACAGAACTATCAGATGAATACAATAGGTCATCATGTATATGGTAAAGCATAGCTTTCCTTAGTGGGACAAACATCAACAGATTCTATTGGTAATTTCATATTCCATCAACTAAGTCTTCAGTTACAATAAAAAATTTACGGTCCGAAGGAAGTATTCTGAGAGGCATATTTGGAAGATTGAATTGGGGAGTTCAATGTATTCAAACAAAATAGAGAAATATGTACAGATCATTTAAAAACATTAGTAGTTTAAAACATATTTTAAAAACTATAGTAATACCTCCAATTGAACACCGATATGCAGTTTCCCCATAATTGTATCTATAAGGACTTACCCTAAGCACACAACAAAGATGCTACCCTAAGCACACAACAAAGATGCCACTCTAAGGGAGTATCGTGGGGCCTATGGGCCTACCCAAGCGTCTCCTTAGGTCAGTAAAGAATTACCAGCTTGATCAGAGTTGAACCTCTGTACTCCAGGCTCCTACCCATACAGTACTCAGTTGAAATCAGATTGAGTAGTAACTTTAATATCAAAATCATGACCCATTAGAATGTTGTAATAATGACAATGTAGTTATTTAAATCACATAAATGCCCTCCATCCGTAAACCAAAATACAGTCCCCATACTAAGGAAGTGCTTTGGGGCCTTAGAGCCTTCCCAAGGAATACCTTAGGTCTGTAAGGAAATACCAGCTTGATCAGAGTTGAACCTCTAAAATACAAAATTCTTCCCAGATAATATCTGAATAATCAATTCATACAGTAAACAGTATATTCTGTGATCCATAAATCAATAACGATTATATTTTTCCAGTGAAAATAGGTAACCAGAGAGCGCATATCATGTAGCCATAGTTCATAAACAATAAATCAATAACTTTGGTAAATCACATTTTAGAACAGATAAAATAATCATATAACACATTTGGAACACACTAGAGGATTCAGTGATTTTCCAGAGGTACTTGGTATTTATCAGGTAGAGAACCACGAAACTTTTGTTAATTGATAGGATTTCAGAAACAAGATCCATATAAAAGGGGATTTGATAGCTAATGAATTCACCAGTCATTCAGAAAGTGATTTATCAAGATCATACAATATTCAGATATTTTTTTGAGGCACTAAGTAATCAGGAAGGTATTTAGAAACTTTTACATCAGAGTTACTTGAGATTTTAGATATGACAAGAGTGATTCCATAATTCAAGCAATCATAGACATTTTGGACATTTGATTCTTGGAGAATTCTTAAACATTTAACCTAATAATGGTTGGGCAATAATTTGCAATATTTAATATATAACGAATCATCATACTTGAGTCAAGTTGCACTTATGAAAATCAACATTGCGGTACTTACCAATCATTTGGATCAAGATACTTCATAGATATTCCCTCCCCAGTACTGTTTGCACTAGTTGAACGAACCTTCTTCATAATCAACATCGAATAGATCTTTACAAGACGAACAATATTTAGATGGTGTTTAATTTATTTATGAATTGAAACAATATCTAGAATGGCTAACGTACTTGGGTCGTGATTCACCTTAAATGGAGATACAACACTTAGATTTATCGGTGTTTCTAAAATTTACCAAGGACATCCACTTATTTCAATTCTTTAGGTTAACAGGCCGCTTCAACAGTCGATGTTACTTCGGTCATCTTAGGGTTTAAGATATTTTGGTTCTTTTAGGGTTTAGGGTATTTTGGTCATTTAAACATTAGAGGTTATTTTAGTTGTTTCATAGCTCGAGGACATTTTAGTAATTCTAATCAATCCAAATATACGTACATTTTGGGTAATTTGGTAAGGTATGTCATTTCAGGGTTATTTTTCACTTTTAGGGGCAAATATTGGTCTTTTTGCAGTGTAAGAGCATTTTTGAAATTTTACTCTATAGGGCTATTTTTGTCATTTATATTTTGAAAGAATACTTAATAATTTAATGATTATTTTTCTTATTCATGATTTATATTGAATTATTCACTTCTCAATATTGATTACACTAATTGAAATAGTCACCATCATACCACCATTAGAACGAATCTTGAGGAGACGAACATGTATTCAGTCTTTCCACGACTTGAGGTATCTTATGTCATTTACACTCTAGGGGCATTTAGGTCAAATTACAATTCAAAGGTATTCCAGTCATTTCCTTCCTTCCAGTCTTTACATTTAATTCAATTTTTTCTGAATAACTTAAACATGAATAGTACTTCCAATATTTTAGTCTTTAGGTGCTCGCCGATAAATAAAAAATTATAGGTCTTGTATCTTCTCGAATGTTAGGTTCCGATTATCAGTGATTATCTGAGCATATCAGGAATTTGACAGATGAAACAATTTATCAAATTAAATATGAATTCTCAAGGTACTTTCAATCTCAGGGTCAGTATGGGCCACAGTTTTTTACCTCATGGGGGTAATTTCATAAATTTATGCTAAGGTAATTTGAGTATTAAAGCTTTTAATGATCATAAGTAGAATTTAGAGATACTGAGGTTATTTTTTTTCAAAAAAATCATTGTACTATATATCATTTCTTATCAGTCTTCTTGTGCCTATGCATGTAGTTTGAGTCTTATTTGGTTTAATTTACTTTATTTCACATTCAGATCGAGTTTAAAAATTTTAACTACACACATATAACCATATTCAACCATGCATTTACCAATATCAACATGTTGCATACATTATGCATAAGGTAGTAATGTATTAACTCGATTTTTGTGTTCCACCGATCGAACATTTAAACTCTATTCGACCACTTTCAAACTTGAATCCAATGTCCATTAATATCTCAGATACATATAAACAGAAATTACATCAGAAACGAGGCTTAATTACAAAAAATGGTTCGAATCAGAAGGTAAAATGCTAAAAAAACAACTTAATGGGTTTGAATTTAGGGAAACAGACTTCGAATTCGAACTCAGGATGACGAAAAACATAAAATATGAATTTTCGAAAATATTGACTTTTTGGTCAAAGTCAACGGTTAACGGTCAAAATCAACAATTTGACTCGGATGAGTTGACTCACTCTGGTTTGACTCAGATGAGTTGACTCAGCCAAATTAACTCGGTTCAGATCGGTTTGACTAGACCGATTCCAGAAACCTTCTAGACCGGTAAAAGAGCCTCACGCGCACTACTGACATGTGGCGATGCATGCGGTAACGACAGAGGTCGGGGGTGGGGGCAAGTACACCACGAGCAACTAAACACCTATATCAAGCCAAACCAACTAAACAATCAACCAAAACCACTGGAATTTAAAACAAAAGGGCCGAAACACTTACCAACGTCGGTGGCCGAACAAAACTGGTGACGTTAACGCGATCCACTGGTCGAGTTTTGATCGAAATTGCCTAGAGAGTCCAAAGGCGGTGATTGTGCGGTGTAATGGTGATGAAATCAACCGAAAAAAGATGAAACAACGACATTCAATTGGTTTCTCGATGAGATTTTGTAGCTCCCTCCACGACAAATGGTTAACCTTCACGCCTAGAGAAGGATTGGGTTACGGTCGCCAGACAATGGCGAGCACACTGATGTTGGCGGTATAAGCCACGGCTGGTCAGACGGGCGATGGTGGAGTTGGATTTTGGTTTGGGGTTTGGGTTTAAATTGGGGGAATTTTGAGGTTGATTCCTGAACGGGGTTATGCATTGGTCCTAGGTTAAAACCCAGACTAAATAATAATAAAATATATTTTCATTATTTAGTCACAAACAGTGACCTAGGTTGGGTGGTAGGGTGATGGTCAACCACTCCATGGGTCTAAGGTTTGAACCCCTCCAACTACCTTTTATTTTATTTTTGGTTTCAGGTAGGATATGGAAAAATTATGGGGCTCGTCCCTGAACTTTCTACACATTCAATTTTAACCCATAAATCTTTAGAATTATCCATTTTAGTCCCTTAATTAAATTAAATAAATTATTTATTATTTTAACTAAAATTGGGGTGTGACAAAATGAGTCGAATTTGAGTATTGTTTAGTTTGATTCAACTCGAAAAATTTAGAGTTAAGTTTCACTCAACTTGAAAGCTCGTGCCATTTTGTATCGTTAAGAAATAGAGTTTAGTTTATTTGATTTGAGTGTTGATTGAATTTTGATCAAATCGATTTTTAATACAATTTTCTAAGTAACGAAGAATTCACCTTTACCTGATATAAGCATTCATTAAGCTAATTAAGCTTTGTTGCTGCGGTTGCTAATTACTAATCTAAACTCTTTTATTAGGGTAGATGATAAATTAGTGGGTATCTTGCAAATAGTT